GAAGGAAGGAAGGAAGGAAGGAAGGAAGGAAGGAAGGAAGGAAGGAAGGAAGGAAGGAAGGAAGGAAGGAAGGGACTAATAAAAAGACTTAAAGTTGTCTTTTAAGTCCAGTACACATACTTGGCATTTGCAATGTTGGGAGTCACAAAATGGCTGTCAGAAGTCAAACTGGTGATGATGGTCCTTGCCACCTTCTCAAATGCCTCCCAAGATGCTCTCCAACAACTCTTTGGCCTCTTTTTTCTGGGCCTGGCCCAAAGCCCTGGCCTGCAGTTCCTGCCATATTTATTTTCCAGGGGCCCCACATGGGGATAGAGGCATTCCTCCAATTAAGGATGACAGCGGAGGTTGGTATTTTCATTTTGCAGCACGCTGCCTTCTGGTCGTTCTTTCTTTTTTATTAAAATAGCATTTTTTAAAAAAAAATGTAGCTAGAATGGGCCAAGGACCATTTGGCTGGCTAATAACATCATGTGTCTGTTCCAAATGGAAATGTTTTCATGTCAGCACACATGGAATTTACGCTTTTGCAAGGAGACGTGGAGCTACTTTCCAACAGGCAAGAGATTTTTATTAACTCGCAGCAAGCAACAAAAACTTTAAAAGCAAAAACAAAAGCACAAACAACCCACAAGAACCCCAAGGAAAAGGAAAACATCCAGAAAATGAGCTATATAAAAACTTACACGGAAAAAAGTGCATAGTTTAGGATTACATATAAATGCATCGGTAATCCTAAACAGATATAATTTTAAACCTTTTCAGTCTTTCCACTCAAAGGTTTATTTGTACAGAAAGAGGCAATCTAAGAGGAATTACTTCGTTGATGAAATCAAAACCTTTTGAATTAAAGAATTCAAGATTCTTCATGGCTGGAGTAATTCTTCATTGGGGCTATTGCCCAGAATTAAATACCATTGATCCAAATTTGAGTACCCAATCAGGAAGGTGTGTGCATTGTATGTGTGCGTGTTTGTGTGTGTGTGTGTGTGTGCACGTGTGTATCAAATATGCTATGATCATATCTACTTACCTACCTACAGTACCTGCCTGCCTGCCTACATCCATCCATCCACCCATCCATCCATCCATCCATCCCTCTCCAGCCAATCCAGAGGATTTCTTTAAGAATTTGAAGGTGTGGCAGATAGGAAAGCACTCCAGAGGGTTAACATCATTGCCCAGAGGATCATGGGTTGCCTTCTCCCCTCTTTGGAAGAGCTTTATAGCTCCCACTGCCTTAAGAAAGTTCAGAACATCCTCAAAGATCCATCTCATCCTGGGAATCCTTTTTCTCAACTATTACCATCTGGCAGACGGTACAGGACAATAAAAACAAGGACAAATAGGCTGAAAAACAGCTTCTATCCCAGAGCAGTTACTATATTGAATTCTACTGTATAGTGCAATATTAATGCAATACCAGGGGTTTCAATTCAATTGTATAGAATGTGAAGGATGTGTGTTTTTATATATACAACAAGCTCGATACCCGTGCTTCGTTACAAGACTACGTGGTCAGCCTTAGTTTTTGGGGAAAATAAGGGGGGGGGGGAAATCTGCCTACCAGCATCCATCGGTATTCATCTGGCTGGTGTCTTGTCAGTGTGTGAGAGAGTTGAGGGCTGTTTGGAGACTGAAACAGTATTTGCTGTGTGAACAAGAAGGAGACAGCAAGGAGCCTGGGTAGCTTAGATCAACTGTTCTGTACTAAAGCTGCTTGGTGCTGTGAAACTGAGACTGCTCTCCTTAGCTTGTGTTTTGGAACAGAGTTCTTTTCAGGTGGGGAGGGGGAGTAGAACTCCTTAGCATCAGAGCGTGTTAATAATATTATACGAAATACTAATGCTCTGAGGGTCATTTTGAAAAATCCTTTCTTAGTGAGCACCTAGAAGCCAAGAGGAACATACGTGCCAAATTTCAAGTTTGTAGGCTTTACGATTCTGGAGATTTTGTGATGATGCGTTGAGTAGTCTTTCACTTTTATATATATAAGAAGATGTACACTGAAGATGGTATTTAATTTTGTTGTACGGGATGCAATGACAATAAAGTAAAGCAAACTAAACTAAACTAATTGGAAATTGCTGTACACGCGGCTAGGGGAGGAGGGTCAGTCCAACCCTCCAAATTTCTTGAGCTGAAGCAGAGTTGAGTTCCAGCTTTTCTGGCAATGTGTCTGCAGGTTGGAAGGGCTTCAAATATGCTGAGCTTATGTGACTGCATATTGTACTTCCAGACTATAAATAGCCATGCTGGAATCCTACAGTAGGAAAAGCATCTCCTGGACTGTTAAGCCCTCAAGAATGGGGAAAATATGCTGCCTTGGAAGTCATCCCACGATTCAGGAAACTCCCCCCTGAAACTGCTCTCTCCTTTTCTAGATCTCTGGATGCCACGGCAGGAGGGCTACAGGCAGTCCTTGACTTCCAATGGTTCATTGAGTGGCCGTTCAGGGTTACAACGGCCCTGAAAAAAAGTGACTCACGGCCACCTTTCATTGAAAACAATTCCAGTCACAAAGGCAAAAATTACCCCTTGAACTCCTTTCATTCACCTGAACCTTGGCTGTTCCCTCTCTTAGCATTAAAGGGAGTCCTCAACGTACAACAGCTTTGTTTAGTGACCATTCAAAGTTACAGTGGCCCTGTAAGTCACTCATGATCGTTTGCCCACAGTTATGACCTTTGCAGCGTCCCCAGGTTATGCCAAAATTCAGGTGCTTGGCAACTGACTCATATGTATGACTGTTTACTGTGTGACTCCCCCTTTTGCAACCTTCTGACAAGCAAAGTCAATGGGGAACCCGAGATTCGCTTAACAACCATGCTGGTAGCTTAACAACTGCAGTGATTGACTGAACAACTCTGGCAAGAGACATTATAAAACGGGGCAAAACCCACGTAACTGGTTTCACGAAGGAAATTTGGAGCTCAATTGTGGTCGCAAGTCGAGGACTACATGTTAATAGTTATCTCCTGGATGGACAAACTCTCAAATGATGGCTACATGAGCTTCTGGTGGCGCAGTGGTTTAGAGTGCAGTACTGCAGGCTGCTTCTGCTGACTGCTGGCTGACTGCCCAGGCTCAAGGTTGAGTCAGCCTTCCATCCTTCCGAGGTGGGTAAAACGAGGACCCAGATTGTTGGGGACCATAGGCTGACTCTGTAAACCACTTAGAGAGGGTTATAAAGCACTGTGAAGTAGTATATAAGTTTAAGTGATATTGCTTTCTTCCTTCCTTCCTTCCTTCCTTCCTTCCTTCCTTCCTTCCTTCCTTCCTACCTACCTACCTACCTACCTACCTACCCAGTGGTTACAGTGCAGTATTGCAAGCTAATTCTGCTCCATTGCCAGGAATTTGATTCCTGACTAGCTCAAGGTCGACTCAACCTTCCATCCTTTCACAGTGGGTAAAATGAGGACCCAGATTGTTGGGGCAAGAGACTGACTCTGCAAACCACTTAGAGAGGGCTGCAAAACACTATAAAGTGATATATAAGTCTAAGAACTATTGCTATATGTGTGGGAAGTAAGCCTTAGCTTTGCACCTATCCTTGAGGGAGAAGTATAGGAGGACAACACAGCTAGACAACTTGATGCTTCATTTTTCAGGAATGGCTTCAAAGCAAACAGGCTGGAAGATTCTGACACCAAATAAGTGCAAATAAACAACAGTGTAATATATCACTCTTTAGCCAAAGGCTGAGATAATAACATGCATAGTTTAAACATGCAAATGCAAAGTATAATCTCAAAAGATTATAAAAGCAGTCTTGGACGTGAAATCAACACCTCGGTATTTTGCCCACTTTCTAGAACGACTGGAATTTTTTTTTTTTTTCATAAAGCAAACATAATCCCCTTTTTCTATATGGGTGGGGAATTCAGTCCATGCACAAAATGTCATGCCAAAGGACATACTTAAATTTTGGTTAGGGTTTGCCCAACTTGCTACTCTAGGCCAAAACGGAGCTCGGTAACTTGTGATTCAGCCTGTTGTGGAACCCAACCTTGTGGCAGAATGTTCTAGGAATGAGGTTGTTACATTAAGCCGTTCATTTGTTATGCAAATGCAGCAATTGTCTTTTGTTAATTTGGGTTTTGGTTGTAGCATGTCAGGTGAATCCAGCCCTTGAGTGATAAACTGGATGCCAAAACAGAAACAAAATTTTATTTAGTTTTAATTTTAAGTTAAATTAAA